TTTTTTTTTTTTTTTAGATAGATTTATCCGATTATAGGCATACCGACTCCTTGTGGGCCTTATGGGCGTGTCCACGCCATAGAGCAAGTGAAATATAGCTGTCCATGTCATGAGTGTCTGTCCTGGAGCCTTATTTACAATCAGTTGGGAAGCCAGGTAAATCATGTACCCTCTGCCCCACCTGTCACCTCGGTGCTTAAAACACCGGTCTACCGGCACTTCAGCAGGTAAAGTTATCGAGTAGGTTTAGAAGTTAGCGCATTCGGGGAGGGGGGGTGGGGGGTCAGAGGAAAGGGGTGAGTTATCGAAATATTATTTCTTGGCACACAAAAAGTGGAACAATTCGATTACCTATTGAACTGAACCATGGGATTACCTGTGGATTACCTATGAATAATAAGAACCGACCGGGAATTGTATAGTCTATGTCAGGATCCTACGCCAGTAGCAAAATTTTTTAAAAAGCAGTCAACGGTGGATTGGAAACTAGAATTAATGCTAAATGACAGAGGAGTGAGGGGTAAGACCTAACGCAGGTGGGAATCCAAGCATGGAAAAGAAAAGCATCAGTTAGGTCTGAGTGGAAGAAAGTGCCATAGCCCTGCATGAGCTGTAGCGTCACAGGGAAGTACCAGCTATTACCTACACAGCTGAAGCATTTGATTACCTATGTGAGTCAACCTCTTTATCACCTATTTAAAATGAACCACGTGATTACCTATTTTACCGACATAGATCCCATACTTTGACCTGTCTAGCGGCCGTCCGAGCAAGGCCTCCTTCTCCACCAGGGCCTCCTCGATCATCTGACCCTCCTTGACGGCGGGGTACTCTTCCTCTGTCAGTGTGGTGTTGATGTGGATGGCTACGCTGCCGCTCAGGATTATGTAGAAGCTAAGGACGTAACGTGGGTGGTTTAAAGCAACGAATTAAAGCTGTGCGGATGACAGTGAGCACTTGAGAAACCGTTTGGCACAGTTTTAGTTAGGTAACTATTTCTACTATTTGATTACTTAGATATTCTTTCAATATGTCCCTTGAAATATGTATGAAGAATGCATCGGAAAGAAAGAAAAAAAAAACAACTCACCAATCGCCTTTGTCCATCTGTCTGATTATTACACTGTCTCGCTTCGTCGGTGAGAATTTGCAATTCTTGACTATGTCCTTGACGATATCTAGAATATATAATATGGGACATTGAAAAAAATTGAACGTCAACTGCAGATGGTGCAACAAAGTTGTAAAAAGTTGAAAGGTGGCAACTTTTAACTGGGCTGTTAAAATTAGACTTGACTCATTATTCTAATTTTAGACATTTTTTGTAATCAACTATCTTTCTGGCATCCGTCCGTCACAATGTGATGGTGGTGTTACATTGTAGGATGAAATCATACGGCCTGGGCTTCTTCAACTATATACATTAGTCTGAAACGTTTACCAGTATGTAAGGACTTGAAGTGGTCACAATGTGGGACTTTTACCTGTATGTAAGGACTTGAAGAGGTCACAATGTGGGACTTTTACCTGTATGTAAGGACTTGAAGAGGTCACAATGTGGGACTGTTACCTGTATGTAAGGACTTGAAGAGGTCACAATGTGGGACTTTTACCTGTATGTAAGGACTTGAAGAGGTAAAAATGTTGGGTTCTTACCTGTATGCAAGGACTTGAAGAGGTCAGATTTCTTCCTGAACCAAGGTAAGATCTGCTCAATCTCGCCATCTTGTCTGTCGGCCGGACTTTTGTTGATGATGTTTACGACTTTGTCATACAGCAAGCTCATGGCTGAAAGTCTTGTGTCAAAACACACCACCGAGGCCTTCGTACGGCGAAAGGCAGACTTTCCTGAAAGCCTGACTGAAAAGTGCACGGTCTGTTGTAATCCACAATTGTTTGATGGTTTTATTGACTGACAGCCATGGTTGTTTTATCCTTACTGCAAACATACACATATCCCTGCATTATGTGTTCTCTTAGGTGGGGGGGGTGGACATGTAGAACCCTGTTGTGAATAGATCACAGTATCACTTTCACGTGACAGGAAGGAACAAACTTTTTTTTTATCTGTATATCCCTAATGAAACTGGATGTGTCGCGGGGATGAAAATATGTGTGTAAAATTTGGGCTTCGGTGAGATTTATAAAAGCTGACGTCCTAGCTGGGTCAGGTTAATGGGCTTTTGGGCGCTCTGCAGAGATGATAAAGGGGTCCATTGCTGCATATATATATATAGAGAGAGAGAGATTTATATAGAGACTGGTGTGTAGAGACAGATTTATAGACAGATTTATAGAGGCTGTTTTATAGAGACTGATTTATAGAGGCTGATTTATACAGATAGATCTACACAGACAGAAGCAAAAACCTCTCAAGGGGAACAAAGAAGACTATATACCCCACTATCATAAAAACCAGTAGTAACTTAGGCTAGTGAGACCTGGCCCCTTACCAGAAAAGCAGAGTGCGTTCTCAATACATGGGAAAGGAAAATCCTCCGAAAAATATACGACCCAGTGATGGAAAATGATGCCTGGAGACTCCGTACAAACCAAGAGCTATAACAGTCGTACGAAGTCTTTACCCATAGTGGCAACAACAACAAATAGGCAGACTACGCTGGGAAGGACTCATTGAAAGGATGCCGGAATTTAGAGCGGCAAAAGTGATACACAGGCACATGGGCGCCCGCAAGGGAGGGCAAGGGGGGCACTTACCCCCCCCCCCCCCGCTTGGTTGGGTAAGCAAATTTTAGACAAAAAAAAAAAAAAAATAAATAAAATAAAAA